AACTTTTTAGGCCGTATAATTTCCAATATAGACGTTTGAACGCTAGCTATATGTATAAAAAAATTAATTTCTTTAATTCGTAATCCTTATTGGTCGTGTTTTCACGTATGCAGTATGATGAGATTCTTATATTGTTTATAAAAAGCAGGGAATGGAAGTAACTCGTTACTTGTAACGAAGTTACAGTTACAAGTTACTTTTTTGGTAACTTTACTGGTAACTGCGTTACTTTCTTTTTTTGGTAACTGTAACGGTAACGAGTTACATTTTTTGGGTAACTGTAACGAAATTTACAGTTACTTTTGTCGTTACTTTGCACACGATTGAACACGGTTCGATTGGATACATGCTATTTATAACGCTTATCAATAAGACTTGAAGCCCTTATAGACATTCGGCCGTTATGATTCAGTAATTATTTTACACTTCTATCTTCTATGTAATACATAGGACATACAAATATTTCAGTTTGCTGCATATTTTACAGGTATTAGAATTACAAAATTGTGTTTAAAAAAAATTAAAAAATAAATTAAATAATAGTAAAATGAGAAGGGCTATGAACCCAAAAGCGAAACAGTTTAAAAGACGATGACAATAAGTGTCGAAACGTCGTTTGTTTTTATCTTTGTTTTGTTCTAATATATATTTATACATTTAATTACATTGTCATCGTCGTTCTTATCAGAAATAAACTGTTTCATTTTTGGCTCGTAACCCTTCTCATTTTACTTTTATTTAATTTATTATTTGAGCCATTCTACATTGTTTTTTTTTTAAATAAAACTATATATTTGTCAGTATTACATATAAAAAAAAATGCAAAAGTACATTTTTAAATTGATTTTAAAAAAGTAACGGAAAAGTAACGAAAAGTTATTTTTCAAGTAACGGTAACTGTAACGAGTTACTTTTAAAAAGCGATAACTGTAACTGTAACTAGTTACATTTTTTACTCGGTAACGAGTAACTGTAACTAGTTACTTTTAAAAAGTAACTTTCCATTCCCTGATAAAAAGTAAGTTGTAAGCAACTACGTAAAAAAAAGGGACGCTAGTTTCCTCGGATTTAATGCTGACGACTTTCTAAAAGCATGATTTCAACTGTGTGTGTGTATGTGTACACGGAGAGAAGGATTTCTTAAAATTTACCCTGAAAATATAGTAATTATGGTACAATACAATAAATTTAAAGATTTTTACCATGCACTTCAGTAAAATTTATCATACTTATTTTATATTTTATTGTAGTTTTATTAATGAATGTGAAAGATCTACATTAAAATTCTTCAAAATATAATATTGTCCCACGATTACCATATTTTCAGGGTAAATTTTAAGATGTAATTCTTTCCGTATATAAATATCATAACTTTTATTGAACTTTTAAAACTTTTTCTATCTTATTATATCTTATTATATCTTTCCTACATCTTTTCAAAATAAAGTTGTTTTCTTTTTACCTGTTGATCATAATCTTCAATGTAACACACATTGTAGAGTTAGGATATTCATCTTGTCTCTTAGTTGTTTCGACTGGCACATGACACACACTTTGAAATTAAGAAATTTCGAAGGCGGGTTTATGTCCGTCCTATCCGCTGCACGGTGGCGTATCATAAAAAATTTTACCTCGAACGACTTCTACGCAACCACCTGCACAACACTGCAGATGTGTTTACGATAGAGGCATTCTTGATTATTGCTACCTGCCGCTAGATAGTCCTTAGACACGAGTCGGGAGGTCTTCGGCATTCATTTATACTGTTTGAGGGATACCGCTATAGTTACGATCGCTTTGATAAACCGCTTTTTTGGCGTTTGTCTATTTACAAACTGTATCATTCGTCGAAAATTTTTAGCGGAAATTGTGCGATTTAAATGTCAAAAGCGGCGTCGTTTGAGCAAAGATGTCATCATTTCTAAAAAGACCTCTTAACTAATTGTTTTTTTTTCAAGCGTTTTATCTGAGAGAGCAACCACTAGCTTAGATATTGTTCTAGGGATTACATAATTTTATACAATTTTATCTCATTGTACAAATAATTTTTTTCACTACATATGAAGTCATTTATTGGTAAATAAAATAAACAATTTTATTTAATATTACACAATAATTTCTTATTGTGACACATGTAATTATAGGATTATACGAGAAATTTCGTATGAATTTTATAATGATTTCGGGGACTCTGTCCCACGATTATATATTACATTATGCGATTATCTCCTCGATTTTATCAATCAAACTGTTGGCCAAGAATAAATTTACGTTGGGATGAGATATACAAAGTTTTGAATATTCAGAGTCATTTATTGCAAGTTGATTTTTGCAGGATATTATACGGGAAAATGATTTTATTAAAGTATCTAAAAATTTAGCTAGGCATATTATAGATCACACACACAAAAATAATTTTATTTTAGCAAAATAGTTATGTAGGACATTTAAACTGAATATAATTGCTATAGAATATAAAAATGTCTTACATTGTTTATTATGCTCGAGTTTCTTACATAATTAATTTGATAATCCAACAAAATTATTTTCAGATCTTAATCAAATTTTTAGATATTTTATTAAAATCATTCTTTTCATAAATTCGTACAAAAAAAGAAACAGAACAAAGTCTATATAAGAACTAAGATAAGAAATATACCATAAATGGCAATTTTTTTAGATTATATGTTTAAATCATTGTGATAACTCATTACTTATAACAAATAAAATGTTAGAATATGTAAATAAATTACTGCTTAATTATTAACAACGATACCAAATGCTGATTTTCTTTAATTCTTTTTCTCATTAGATTTATACGTGTCCAAGTCAAGTGAATTTTTATCCTGATTACTCTTTGAATTGACAATTTCGCATTCTCGTTGAATATTGATATCTCTCGTCTCATCTGTGCTGATGATGGCATAGTTTCGTCGTGCACGATCACTAATGATTCTTTCGTATCCTATATGATTACCAAGCAACATCGGAAACTCCGTCGGATGCGGGATCGTTGCTTTTTGCTGGATCCATTTTGTCTGATTGGAATAATCCACTAAAGCTGCGCAAGTCTGCATAATTTCATGGCAAATAAAATAAAAATTCCTTAGTGTTAATATTCAAATTCCAGAATTAAAAATATGATTAATTTCGTGAGATTAGACCTCATTATTATAATAGTTGCACAGTCTGTGTCGCATGAGTGTCGCTAATTTCAATTTCCATAATAAAGATTAATTTTAATCTCGGTTTAACTTACTGTTTATCTTTTTCTAATTTTTAGAATTAGAAAAAGACAAAGAGTAAATTGAACCGAGATTAAAGTTAATCTGCATTGGTGGAAATGGGTATAAGTGAACGTCTACAACAATTGCAAGAATTTGATAACAAATTCTATTATCAAATTTGCGATGCTGAGATTGGTTCAACTCATGCGACATGCACTAAGAGTATGAAAGAGTAACAGGGTGAGAGAGTAAGCTGAAGTTTATTTGGAAGATGGAACCACCTAGCCTTAATTTTGAAATTCAGTAGATACGAAAGTAATATTAAAATTTAATATCATTCTTACCACAAGGCCATCAGGAATTCTGGCTATCGCGTGTCCGGTCTGCGTGAACCAACAATATTCATTCGGCAAAATATGCGATACCAGTCGTCCATCTTCTGTGAATCCGTGAATAGTATTGGCTCCTAGGATACCGTAGGATTTCGATGGAAAGGGAAACAGCAAAGGAGTCGTCAGGTAGGCTTCTGGGATCAGCTGGGAAAAAATAAGACGTACTATTTTGCCTTATTTTCCTTTACTGTCGCATAGACATCCGTTTCTTTTATTCTTGTCATACTGCTCGCGATCGTCCCAATCGAATGAGAGTAAAGTTATACATTTTTCAATGTTGATCTTTATGTCCATCTTATATCACAGGACAATTATACCGCAAATGCCAATTTATCTACATATTTAATATATTTTTCATTTTGAAAGGACATTGTGTCTTTAATATTCTTGGCATCAAAAACTTCTGACATTTGTGGTACTTATGTTGCATAAAACATTGTAGGTCTGTTGTATAGGTCGGTTTGTTCTATCACCTTTAGCTACCGTTGCTTATGATATTGTATCACACAGCGTACATTTATATTCGTCTGATTAATTAAAAACACAGTATTCCTCATTTAAAGTTATTTGTATCTTTCAACATGCACAGTACATCAACGCCAAGGAGGTTTTTTTTTTTATGATGTCGCATACTATCGATATCTAGTTAAGAATTACTCCGATTTTTGTCCTACGAAGATAACGTCACTTTTCGATTATGATATTTACGCACACTTCGATTTGACAGCTGTTTAAATATGTTTTGTAAGGCGTGAGATTATGCTCATTCCGTTGCAAGAAGTGGAATATATTTTCTTCAATTTTATATATATATATATAATATGTACTAATATACTTTCATTCACATAGTCGCACTATTCTGTCGAATATATTCCACGTTTTCGGAGCGGAAGTGTGGCGTTTTGCTTTCACTCGCGAGCGATCGCACGAACAGAATGAGGGAAGTTGTTTTTTTACGCGACCATACGTAGGACGTAAGCGCGACGGTGAACGCGACATAAAAGTTTTTCGTTTAATTTTTGGTCCCATCATAGGTACAGGGTATCCGGCACGAATTTATCCCGAATTAACTGGTCGATGTAAGACTATGACGCAAGTTATAGATATTAGCGCGTATTAAGAATCTACTGGCAAATACACTTCATTGTAGATTACAGTGGAAAACAGAGACTTTCTTTACGTAAGATTAATATATTAAAAAATTGAGATGAGCATAATTTAAAGATAAATACAATCAGCATTTAAATATATGTATAATATAAAAGCGTATATAAAAGAGCATTTACTTAATTGGTCGATTAACGTATTTAGTTAATTAACTAAAATTAATTAGCAGTATGTACAGAGAAAGAAAAAATTCATATAATTGTATTAAGTGTTAATTAATATTTTAGATTGATCAAAGAAGAGAAAAATTTGGGAAGAAATGTTTCAGATGCCAGATTCTTAATACGAACCACCGTGCATGCCCCTTCGCAATTATTTTCCAGAAGCGGAAGAGCGTTTACCTGTCGGCTTCTCGGCTTCCTACGCTCGCAGGCGTACTTCACTTTTATTTGATCGTTTCTCCGCGCGGCAATACGTTCTGACCTAAAGAATCTACTAAATAATCTTACTCTCTTCGTCGCGCGTTTTCATTCCTTATTACACACGATTATAATATATATATATATATTTATTTATTTATTTATATTTATATGTATAATTTCGCCGACGTGTATATCGCCGACGGCATCTAACAACAGTGATGGAAGGTGCCGATTGAGTACGAATCGTCTCGGCGTGATTTCTTTTGATTATATCTTCCTTTTGGCATACGAGACGCGGTGTATCGTGCTGCTTTGATTTTCGATAAGGCGAGAGAACTCGACGAGAATTCCCCGACGCATCCCCGATCCTCTGGAAGGCACAATCTCGACGAACGTTCGCAGTTTGTCGGGACGTTTCGTACGCCAATATCGATCCCCGACAGCTTTCGCCAATCGATGCACTTGCATTCGCTACGCATGACGCGCGTTTTGTCCCGCTTTTACTTTCCAGGCGACGCGGACGCTGTAGGTCCCGACAAAGGTTTCATTATGGAGACAAATCCAAGGGTTGAAACCGACCCGATTTCGAGTTCAATTTCTGACGCTAGAGATATTAAAGATCTCGCTAATTTCATTATCACAAATAAATAACGTATAATAGAAATCACCTCGGTGGTTAAATTCAAATGCATTGAAATTATAGCGGTTTCAATTTCTCGGATAAGTCTCCTATTGGCATATATGTATAACACATAAAGTATGGACAGTTGTTTTGTCATCAAAATTCGCTACACATCAACACTACCAACGTTACACCGGAAACACGTGTGTTTCTATTGGAAATACAATACATCGCCACTTAATTTCATCGCAAAAACTGTCACGCACCAGAAAGCTACGGGAATCGCTTTAGCCTAAAAAAAAGACGAGGATAACGTCTTATTGAAATCGACCCGCAGCGGTAATCTGTACCGTACCAACGATATTTGTCAGTACCACAATTATTTTTTAAAAATCGTCGTTTGTGCGATCGCAAAGTGATAAATTTTGATTCTCTTTCATTTCTCCAATTTTATTCCCAAAATAATGTAAAAATAGAAAATTCTGTAAATGTTTGCTCCCAAAAACATGAATTGTCTCTTGATACTTCTCGATGCGCGAGTAATCAGCGAGAAATGTACAGTACGCGATACCGCAGCCGATCTCATTTAAATTTCGCTACCTATAGCACCTACGTGTGGACTGTGCCAGCGCGGCGTCGCTGGTTGTCCGCAGTACGTGCTGCCGATCGACGACGGCGTGCCGACGGTGTCATCGCCGACAGCGAATGCGGTCTGACTATCCTCGGTATCGAAAATCCTGCAGGAGCCGGTCGTGGTGGTAGTCGCGATAGCCGCCGCCGCCGCGGCCGCAGTAGCTGCGGTCGTGGCTGTCGCGGCCGCTGCGGTCGCAGCCGTCGGCGCCGTCGTGGCAGTATTTTCTATTGTTTCCGACACGGAATGTTCCCTACTTACTTCGCCATCGTCACCGCCATCGATGCCGTCGCCGTCGTCCGATGTAACACCACTACCGCTGCCGCTCTCGCCTACCATATTGACGAAGAATTCGGACCTGGAGAACTTGCCGATCTCCGTGGAGCCAAAGGCCTGGTGGAAGCCTGGAAGCGGCTGCTTCGAGACGGGTTTCTTCTTCAGCTCGAATCGCTCGCTCGAATGCCGAGATTCCTGCTCCTTTTCGCGAGAAATCGCACCTTCCTGTGGCTAAAATTTGATGAATGGGGAACGGATATTCGTATACAAGTTAAAAAATGAGGAGTATTTTATATGACATATTTTACCGTAGAGGTTGGCACGAGTTCGTTCAGAGACATCCTAGTATTATTTGGCTCCCATCTGGTCCGACCATCTTCCTCGCGTCGATTCATGGTCGTAGTCGTCGTCGTCGTCGTCGAGTCTATGACGGAATCCACCGCTGATCCTAGCAATCTTGGCATCTGCATATATATAATATCTTATTGATAATTCCTTATTGATATACTCATGGTAAATGTCAAATTGACGTAACGCCTTTATGATTTTTCATCATTATAATATACGATCTAATCGTTATGTGAAACTTTTGGATTCACTAGATAATGATGTGGCAGTCATACGTGTATATCGAATACCTGATGCTCCGACGGCGGATAAGACGCCCGAATGCTATCAATGTTCAATTTGTTCGGCGAATAATTCATTTGCGATGCGTCCTCCAAGAATGCACAGTGTCTAGTTGGTGTACGATCCCGTAAGAAAACTGCATGTCGCGGACCTCGAATCGTCGCGTTGCGGGCTACATTTAAAACATTTAAAATATTACACACACGTTTAAATATCGTATTAGAAAATGTTTTATTTAATAATAATTCTTCTTTTTTTTTTCAACCGACACCGATATTACAATAAGTAAACATTCACAAGTAATGGAGTAAAAGTACAAAATAAAAGATGCAATGCAACGAGAACTTTAGCGCTCAAATGACCGCGCAGTTCTTTTACTCTCAATTGTCCTTGTGTGAATTTACTTATTGTTTAAATTTAAAAAATCCTCTATTAAAGATTAGTATATATCATGATTCAGATCTGTGTATAAAAATATGATTAGTCATATTAATTAAATAATCGAATTATCAGTTTAAAAATCATCGCGATGGAACTTCCAGAGAAAAATATCCTGTATACGTGAAACTTACGTGGTAAAATACCGTGACAAAATTGGCCCCATGGACCATGTCCATGCGCGTTTGTATTCTGGACATCTGGGTGAAGAATGCTACCCATTTGCGGTGATGAATGAGGCGTTCTCGGAAGTGGATGAGGACTCGCGCTGTTCTGCAATCAGAAATATCAAGCGATTTTTACAGACATTTATAATATCCATTAATTTAATGAGGGCACAAATGTTTATTCACGTTTTGCCGCGTAAACTATACAGGTAAATTTTACGTTCAACAGGATTAGAAAACGTCTGCTCTTCGTTTGAAAAATGAGATCGATATAATTTGCATTCTTGCCAATTTACATTGAACAAAATTCACAAATCAAAATTTGCGCTTTTTAACGCTGCTGCGTTACTTCGCTATATAGCTATGCCCCATCGCGTTCTGTATATTACTTGATAAGGATGCCACTTCTGGCCGTCGACAAAATCGGCGTATTCCGCGGATTCTGGTCTGCGGATATCTCTCTCCGCGGCCGTGATATCCGGTGAATAGCCGTTGGAGGAAAATGCCGCCGTGGCGCATTCCGATGTCTGATTCCTTTGGTCCTTGATAGGCTTCTCGAGGTTGCGTTGTTGTTGCTGCCGCTGCTGATGCTGCTGCATCGCGCCCATTGCTTGCAGCCTCTCGATCGGGTCGCCGCATATATTCCCATACCAATCGCCGATTCGTGGCGAGTGCGCGGGTTTCAGGCGATGCGCGGCCTGGAACCAGGGCTCGGCCGCCTGATGAGGACTCACGTTTGGGCCCATGGGTATCGACGCGCATTCGAAACGATGATGTTGATTTAGGAAGTCGCCGGCCATTGATGCGGGAACTACGGAATTAGCGCCACCAATCGCGGCTGTGCGCGCGTTTGCGGTCGCGATCGCGCTTTGCAAGATCGACCGCCGTGACAGCTCGCGAGTCTGCTCGCGCATCGCTTTCCGTAGCCTCGCCTCCTTCGGATTATACACATAATCTGCGAAAATGTACACGCGATTATTATTAATACAGAAAAAAATGTCATGCTAAAATCGTACTGTTTTTGAATATACAATCTATAGCATATGTATTAATACAGGACACAAAAACAAATATATATATATATATATATATATATGATATGTGCAAGCTTTAAAAGGTGATCAAGAAGAATTCATTTGAATACATTAATGTGAGATTATGTAATTTTAATCGCAACTGAATTAGGTTTTTCTCAAATAAGTTTTATAAGATAAATATTTCATATTTATTATATACACAACGAACTACCTTGAATTATCCAATTGCATGCAATACCCACGTACTACGCAAATCTTAGTCAGATTTTTTAATTTTCTATTGCAAAGTTCCGTTCGGCCGAAAGAAATCTCTTTTTCTTTCTAGAAATTAATTATTTCAGCATTTAAACAAATAATTTTCAAATCAAATATAGACTTGTATATATTGACAGTTATATCTTTTCTTCGTTTCACAAATAGAATAAATTTGTTTTTATTCCTCTTTAATTTCTGACTGAGCTACAATTACGGTCCTTATTCTACAATTCTTAATGATAGTATAATGATATGGTTACATCGTCCCGTTGCGCGCAGGTTTTGTACCTACATGGCAAAACAGCTGCGCAATGATATAATACATATAATGATATCGTTATTGTCGTGAAGAGTTACAAGATAGGGGTCTTAATTGATAGATAAAGAATAATATGTGCACGCAATGTCGCCAAACTATACGCAAACTATCGTTTCGACATGCGACATGCATTTCATTTGCAGAGTTCTACCTGTCGGATACGTGGGTGGTAACGCTCCGTTGTATCGAGCATTAATGTCCATCGCGTTAGAGATTGGTGCGGCGTCATAGCCGGGGTACGCCACGCTACCATTGTCGTAACAAAAGTACTGCTGCTGCTGCTGCTGCTGCTGCTGTTGTTGCTGTTGCTGTTGCTGCTGCTGCTGCTGATAAAAATGACCACCTGCCGCGTAAGCCTCGATATAATTGCAACAGTCCATGTCTGCGATTTTGCGCGACACTGCGTTTGCGAAGCCTCACGTATCGATCTAGATCTCTCCTGGTTAGCGACACACTTATTAGGCTCTCTCGATCTGTCACGGTTTCGGTTACAGTATATCATAGATCGAACTCATTGATGCTTCGATCGATAAACTCGAATACGCACTCCGTCTCTCAAATCGCTTATTTTCCCTCGATGTTTCCGAAAATTGTTATTGATACTTTTCATGTTGGCGCGCGAAATGAAATTCTTGTCGGAATTTAATTAAAATAATAATTATAGAAGAGGTACAACGATTTCTCTCTTTTACTTTACGCATCTAAAGTACCACTGACAATGAGATGCCACCCGCGCGATTTCACGGATGTGCATCTTTGCAAGTATTACAAAGACCAGCAGCACGTATACGAATTTTCATTCTTTCCGCCAGCCGATCAGTATCAGATCTTTTAGGTTCGCGCGCTTTCGTGAGTTAATACCGAGCATATACGAGAAATGAAGAGGAGACCCGCGATTTTAAATCGTATACTCTCTGTGCGAAAGCCCGATCGATATCTCGATTTCGCGGGTCCACGTCTCGCGGCTCTCGCAAATGTAAACACCTCCCGCGCGCCCGCGGACGACGCACCGCGACCACGCAGTGCACCGGGCGATGCGGCGGCGGCGGCGTCGTCGCCTCTCCTCTCCTCGCTCGAAAGGCGCGGAGCGTGAGCGCGAAAACTCGCAGTCCCTTCGTGCTTTTGCTCTTGTTGCGGGATCGTCGGACGATTTACACTGGAAAAACGGTGCAACTGCCGGGGAATGCGTCGGAAAGATCCAGCGCTCGCAGTTGCGTCGACATCGACCTCCTCCACCTCGTCGTCGTCCTTGTCGTTGACATTGTCGTCGTCAGGGATGATCGTCGTGACTAATTAACGACATCATCCTCATTCGGCCGCCGTCGATCGCCACGCGTTTCGCATGTGGACGTGATCCGACGTGTGCGACGCGGCGGGCCGCGTCATGCTCGCTGCAGCCGCGGCGAGATCGATGACAGAAGCTGCGTTCTCGCTACACCTGCTGCACCCCTCGCACGCTCCTGCCCCCGTCCCCCGAAAACAAGCACGACCTTTTCCGCGCCTTCGTTGACACCGTTTTCATTGGCGTGATATGAACTCGCGATCCTTCTAATTGATATTATTTTCCTTTCCTTTTTATGACAAATCTACTCAACGGATCCTTTTCAGAATCGATACTTCGTCGGACGATTGAAGTCGACAAAGTTGAATTAAAAATTGTTGGGGGACTTTTCGACGTTTCTCTCCGTTTACGACTCACGTTTACTTCACTCTAATTTGCTGTCGCTTGTTAATTAATCACTCGACCTATTCCACGCGACGCATCGATCTCAACTGTACAGAGACGGCTTTTTTTTCTTTCATCCAGTTTCGAAACATCGAGCACGTTTCTCTCGTTTATGCAGTACTCTGTTTGTCCTACGTTTAAATTATGCTACTATCACAACAATTTCGCACGCTTGCGTCTATTTTGCTACGAGGAATGAACGAATGCACTCTCATCCATTTCTTCCATTTCGAAGCGTTTCGCGCGGTCGTTTATATTAATTGATATATACGCGCACCGTGTTTCGGCGCGCACAACGACCTATTTACTCCTCTCTTTTCCCACTCGTGTCACATCGCGCTGCCGTGTTACTCTCACGGACAGAAGAGTGTATGAACGGAGGAACCAGCGATGGGCGGGCGGACGCGCGCGCGCGCGTGCCGCAAGCGGGAACGGCGGGCCGCACACGGGGAGACCCGCGTTCTTCCTGGTGGCGGCGGAGGCGGCGGCGCTGCCGCTACCGCCGCCGCCGCCACCGCCACGAATTTACGTGCGTTTCGTCATCGACGAACTGGAGTGGCGCGAAAGGGGATGGATGAGTGGAGGGCATATTCCCCACCCTCTTGAGGGCGTCGCGAGGTGTGTCGCGGTGTGTGGGACGCGAGCAGGTAAAGGAGGCGATGGTGAATTTAACGATAAATGCAGGTCGCTTATAGAATTCTGATTATTAAAGAATTCCGAAATCGTTCGCATGTGTTTACACTTGCGTGATCTCTCCGCAAAGTTTCGTAATTACATTACATAATTATATAATCGCGAAAATATTTATAATTGATAAATAAAGATAATTTGATAAATGACATAATCTTGTGTTATTTCTTTTGTGCTAGAAATATATAATTAAAAGAGTTTTAATTGTAAACGGTGAATTATTTCGTAATGTCGCGCTGCGTTAGGGCTCTTCAAACTCTAAATCCGTCACTGAGAAGGGAAGACGAGGGGCGCCGGCAAAATTCTCCTCTCCTCTTCCACTGTTGTTGCCTTCTTCAACGGCTTCAAGCCGGAGCCCTCATGCAACGCGCTCTCGCATCGACGCAGTTCCGTATGCGGCGTACACTACTCGCTTCGAGAGAGTCGATAATTCGTCTCTCTTTCTCCTCCCTCCCTCCCTCCCTCCC